TACATATGATAATCCATTCATATTTTCTAGAGCACTACTGTCCAAGCTGTGTTGATCTCTGGAGGCCAGTACTCATTTGTCATGATGAACTATGGGATAATAGCCTCAACTTCGAAATCTGTGCAGGTCTGATTCATTTCAGTTATTATGTGTATAGTTTCCAGGACTAACTCTGGGCTTAACTTTATAGAGTTGTGTGATTTTATGTTTTGTTTTTGCAGGCTGGCTATGATACAATTAGCTCTGTTCACCATTACACCATTCCCGGGTCATTCACTAGTGCCGCAACAGGCACTAACTCAAATTTCCGCCTGAGCAGCAATGTCAATGTACCCGGGCGCTGGGCCTTCCGGTCAGACCATGGATCAAGAGGCTGCACTTTTAACGGTAAATCAGATACAGAGGAGGATAACTACTGTGCACTGTATGCCCCTTCATAAACAAAACTGCCCAACCCTCAACCAACATACGACCCAATGTTGGAAATCATTGATTCCAGGTCAGACGGTGAAACTCCAATCAGTGAAACAGTAGTGACTACTCCTTATCTATATTAGCAAGATAATAAACCCTGGCTTGTTGTTGACCCAATAAATTACACACACAGTTAAGTATATAGTGCACTAAAACTGTCTAACTTCCAACAACAATAAATGAGATTATCCAAATTGTAATGTCATTGTGTGTGTGTGCGATGCTCAGTTGGTATCATGCCGAACATAACAGAAGCCGAAGTCTTTCAAAGAACCTTTATTTTTATTTCCCTCAAAGGTGAACCTGTGCAGCTTGGAGACTCATTCTGGAGTGACAGAACCTGCGCACAGAAATGCACCTGCACCTCAGCAGGGCTGCAGTGTCTCAGGCAACCCTGCTCCTTTTCACAAATCTGCCGCCCAAGTGCCTTTCAGTTCTCCTGCCAGACGGTGCAGAAAGGCACCTGCACCGTAAGCGGTGATCCACATTATTATACTTTCGATGGCAAAGTGTTTCACTTTCAAGGTACCTGCACTTATGTTCTCTCAGAACAATGTGGTCATGGGCTGCCCTACTACCGAGTAGAGGCCAAGAACGAGCATCGGGGCAGTACACGAGTCTCTTGGACACGACTGGTTAAAGTGTTCGTGAACAATGAAACTATTGAACTTGTCAAGGGACATCGTGGTGAAGCCAAGGTTGGTGATTTACACTACAGTTAATCTCAGTACTTATTTATTTACAAAACCAAATGTATTTTTTCCACTATTGAAATAATTGTGTGTTTACAGATTAATGGAAATTTTGCTGCCACTCCGCTCTACCTCAATAACGGAACTGTCCAGGTTTACCAGTCAGGTTTTTCTGTAATCGTCAGTACCGACTTTGGCTTGGAGGTTTCTTATGACACAAGTTCTTTCGTCAGAATCCGCATTCCCTACACTTACCAGAATGCAACCTGTGGCCTTTGTGGAAACTTCAACAATAACACCAGGGATGATTTTCAAACTCGCCAAGGTGAAATTGTGAGCTCTGATGTGGTATTTGCCAACAGCTGGCAAGCACCAGCAGATGATGAGCCTGGATGCGAGGCACCATGTGAAGGTCTGAACTGTGCTGCCTGCACTGAACAGCAGACAGCTTTATACAGCAATGCAGACCATTGTGGTATCCTCCAGAACAGGTCGGGACCTTTTGCCGCTTGCCATCAACAATTTCCCCCCCAGAATTTCATGGAGAGTTGTGTGTATGATCTCTGTGTAGGAGGAGGGTACCAGCCCATTCTGTGTCAAGCCCTAAATGTTTATGCAAGTCAGTGTCAGCAGAATGGTATCCAGCTGCCAAACTGGAGGAGACCAGGATTCTGTGGTACGTCTGTCACTCATTCAACATTATGTTAAAACATCATTTCACTAGTTTCATGAGGTCAATGTCTATTTTATGCTTTTGTCTAGAAATTCCCTGCCCAGCCAACAGCCACTTTGAGTCCCAAGGCACAGGATGTCCAGCTACCTGTGTCAATCCCAATTCCACGCACAACTGCCCTCTCCCTGCCCAGGAGAGCTGCATCTGCGATTCAGGCTACATCCTCAGTGGTGGGGTCTGTGTCCCTCATGCTAGCTGTGGCTGCAGCTTTGAGGGTCGTTACTACCGCTCTGGAGAAACTGTGATACTAGACAATAACTGTGGGAGACGTTGTAGCTGCAGTTATGGCCGCATGACATGTCGCTCACATAGTTGTAGTCCCCTTGAGTCATGCAGGGTGGAGGAGGGACAAAGAGGGTGTAGACCTAACAGCTATGCAACATGCTGGATAAGGGGACCAGGGTCATATCAAACATTTGATGGACTGATGTACCAGTATCCTGGGGCGTGTCGACTGACACTTGCTAAAGTGATGGGATTGTCTGCTCACACCCACTTTATGGTGACAGCAGAAAAAGCACCCAGAGGCCACCGTGGGTTTGCCAGGTTGCTTAAGTTTGAGGCAGAGGGAACACAAGTCTCCATTGAGATGGCAAACAGCAGCACAGTTCAGGTAAGATAATTAAGTATATTACAGAAAGAAGGTCCAAACAAATAAATACTTTTTTTATCAGCATGTCTGACTCTAGCTGTTTAAATGGCTCTCTAGGTGAACGGTCAGCGGATCAGATTACCTTTCAGCTCAGCATCCAACCGAATCCAAATCTACCACAGCAGCATTCACAGTATCATCATTCGCACCTCCTTTGGTGTGACCGTGCAGACAGTCTGGCCTCACTTTGTGCGAGTCACTGCACCTGGTGTCTACAATGGTTCACTGGGTGGACTCTGTGGTAACTACAATGGTCACTCACATGATGACTTCCGCACACCCAATGGCATTCTGGTCAACAGCTCCCAAGTCTTTGGAGACAGCTGGCGAGACGGCTCCCTCGCTGCCCATTGTGTAGAGAGTGCAAATAATGATTCTTCAACAAATTACAATTCCACTGAGTACTGTGGAATCATTGGCTCAAGAGATGGMCCGTTTACCCAGTGTTGGGCCACAGTAGACCCAAGGCCGCATGTGCAAGTGTGTATGGAGATCCTGGGAGCCTCTAGTGATCCAGCATCCACACTGTGTGAGGTCCTACGGGATTATGCACTAATATGTCAACAGAAGGGCGTAGCCCTGCGACACTGGAGGAACGCAACTGGCTGTGGTAAGCACTTTCCCTCCTGTGGTGTTAACTTTAAATATGGTATCAAACTGTTTAACGACCTTTTTCTATCAACCTGTTTGTTTTCCTTTAGAGCAAACCTGCCCTATTAACAGCCGTTATGAGCTTTGTGGAACCACTTGTCCCTTTACTTGCCCCAGCCTCTCTTTCCCATTCACCTGTGACACTGTGTGCCAGGAGGGTTGCCAGTGTGAAGATGGTTTTGTCCTCAACGGCAACCAGTGTGTGCCACCAACATCCTGCGGATGCCATCACAATGGACGCTATCGGCAAGGTGGTGAACAGTTCTGGGACAGTGAAGAATGTCAGAGCTTCTGTACCTGTAATGGAACAACTGGGATGGTGCACTGTATTCCCAACTCCTGTGGTCCCCAGGAGTCCTGCCGTGTGGTGGGGGGTGAGTTTGGCTGCCATCCCAACCCTCATGGCACCTGCTCTGCCTCTGGAGACCCCCATTACCTCACATTTGATCGCAAGGCCTACGACTTCCAGGGAACCTGCCGCTATGTTCTAGCAACCCTTTGTAATGACACTGATGGACTTCACCAATTTTCAGTTGAGGCTAAGAACGAGCCGTGGCATGGGTTGCCAGTTTCAATCATAGCTGAAGTTTTTGTGAATGTGTGGGGCTACCGATTGCATATTTCAAGGGAAAGAAGGGGTGTGGTTCAAGTAAGTAATTCAAATCTTGTTCATTGAAATCTTAAATTATTTTTTCAGATAATTGCCATGCATCATTTAGATTGAATCTAATTGCAAGGAAGTACATGTGATCATAATTAAAAAATGATGTGATTGCTTTTTGAGTTCTTTTTTAAGAAAAAGGAAGAAGAATAATACGTGAAAGTTGCAAAAAGCACGTCTGATCTTTGATCCAATTCCCCTTTTAGGTCAATGGAATTTCCAGAAACTTACCTATTCTCTTAAATGGAAGTAATGTGTCGATCTATGCAAGTGGATCTCGTGTATTTGTCAATGCTGATTTTGGCCTGAGTGTCACTTATGATGGATATAGTACAGTGTTCATCTCCGTACCTGCCAATTACAGGTATCTGTCATTCACCTAAGCAACAATATGACTGACATTTATTATCACCTATCTTCTGATTTATGACACTATATGTACTATTATTTTCACCTACACAGAGAAAAAACATGTGGACTTTGTGGAAACTTCAATGGAAATCAAAGTGATGACTTCCGCACCCCATCTGGAGCTATAGTCACCTCTCCAGATGAGTTTGGAACAGCTTGGAAGGTGCCAGGAAACTACACCTGCAGTGATGGCTGTGGTTCCTCCTGCCCTCAGTGTACCAATGATCTCCCTGCTAGAGCTCAGTGTGAAGTCATTCAAGCCGCGGACGGCCCCTTAAGCTTCTGCCATGAGCAAGTGGACCCGGTGCCATATTTCAACGACTGTGTGTTTGACGTTTGTGTGTCGGGAAATGCGGGTCAAGATCTTCTGTGCAGGGCCATTCAGGCTTATGTCAGTGCCTGTCAGTCTGCTAATGTTCAAATCTATCCTTGGAGACAGAACACCACCTGCAGTGAGTCAACCATTCTTCAGACTAGGTTATCCACTTCAGACAAATAGATCAAATACTTAGTTCATAAGCATCTGACACTAACCATTGTCTCCTTATTCAAAAAGGACTTAACTGTCCAGCTAACAGCCATTATGAGCTTTGTGGTACCGACTGTGGCCACACCTGTGCCAGCAGCATTGATGCTACCTGTGAGCAGGTTTGCTCCGAGGGATGTTTCTGTGATGAGGGTTTCCTCAGGAGTGGCGCGAGGTGTGTCCCTGTTGAAAGCTGTGGCTGCCAATATGACGGCTTCTACTATGATGTAAGTCAAATATAAACAATGATCCACAAAGCTACTATGTTGCTTTAAATGCTGAAGAAGTAAACCTAGTAGTTTTTGGCACTGTCTTTATGAGCTAGCCAGTCTGATTTTGTCTAGTGAAACATCAAATCCCATTACTTTTTGATTGATTTAATATCATTTAAATCAGACACAAAAGCATAGAGTGTAAATCATAACCTCTGTAATAATTACCTACTTGACAATCAACCTCTGTGGGTGGAATAAATAATTAAGACTGGTTTTTCAGCCACTTGGTGGATGCAATTATATATTATTAATATTATTAGCTCTGTTCCATTAAAAGACAAAGGAAGCCTGTCGAGTGACCCAGCAAGTACAATAATGCTGTTATGTGCTACTGAACATTTCCCATTTGGCCTGTTATGTTATATGTGTCTCTTTAACTCCCATGTTGCAGGCGGGTGAGTCCTTCTGGACAGACGGTTGTTCCCAGCGATGTAGATGTCATGCTCCGAATGATCTGCGCTGCTCTGCTGCATCTTGCACACCTGCACAAGAGTGCATGATCAGAAATGGCCAGCTGGGCTGTTTCGATGCAATGTCCACTTGCACCGTGTGGGGGGATCCCCACTACATCACATTTGATGGGGCACTGGCTCATTTCCAGGGCACTTGCTCGTACACCATCTCTGAGAGTGTGGGCAACGGCACCAATGAAACCCAGTTCCAGGTAGTAGCCACGAATAATCACCGTGGCAACAACTTTGTGTCCTTTGTATCAACAGTGGATATATACCTCTCAAATCAACCAGAGAGTGCGTATATCAGGATTGGACCCAACAAAAGAGTAAAAGTAAGGTTTTATTATTGTGTCAATATCTAACTTTTCGTCTGGTGTCAGTATAACTCCTGTCTTCTACTAATCTCTCATCCCTCCAGGTAAATGGAAGTGTGGTTTCTCTTCCAACCACCACAGGAGCTTTAGCTCAAATTGTGAGGCAGGGAAGCTACATCGTGGTCAAAGCCACCGACCTGGTGGTCCAGTTTGATGGCAAAAGTACCTTATTGGTAAGAGTTGGCCAAGACCATCAAAACAGAGTAACTGGGATGTGTGGAAATTTCAACAATGATCCTGCAGATGACAAAGTCATGCCCAATGGCACCATGGCACAAAATGACAATGAGTTTGGACACAGCTGGAAGGCACCTACAAGCCAATCAGGGTGAGCTGCTGTGAAAAGAACATGTAGGATCATTTTATAAACTGCAGCAGGTAATAATGGCAGCACTTGATCTGTCATTTTCTAGATGTGGATCCACAGATGATGAAAACAGTGATGGATTGAATAACTGTGCTTTCATGGAGGAATACACTGAGCTCTGCAGTATCATCACCAACACCAGCGGCCCATTCAGCGACTGCCACCTGCACGCTGACCCCCAACCATTCTTCACTTCCTGTGTTTATGATCTCTGTCTCTACACTCCAGCCAATGGCATACTGTGTTCTGCCATCTCAGCCTATGAGGGCACTTGCTCGGTGTTGGGGTTGAACATCCCAGAGTGGCGCCCAGCTTTGCAATGTTGTATGTTGTGGATTGATCGTGTAGAAAAATTTTTTTTCCGAAGAATGTGAAACATCTTCTCTCTTACCCATCGAGTCTCCTCTGTTTCCGCAGCTGAGTCAGACCCCTGTGAACAGCAGGACTGCTCAGAGCATGAGTGGTGCGGTGAGAAGGATGGAGTTTATGGCTGCATGTGTGACGAACACCACCATCGGCCCAATAATGAGAGCTATGGTGAGGGCAACACGTCTCTTTCACAAATAATTGCTGTCTATTCAAGTCATACTTGATTTCTTAACCATACTTGTACTTCTTTTAGGATTTTCAGTGATCTTTAAAGTCAGTGATTTTACAACGTTATGTACACATACATCACTGACTTTAACTTAGAGAAATTCTTCAAGTTCAAAAACACATCATGTTGTCACTTGCACCTAATTTTCAGTTTCTTTCTATCTCATAGACTCGTCCATCACTTGTGTCAGTAGTTCAGCCAACATGTCCCTGTCCCGCTGCCAGCTGTTTGAAGCTGGCTTCCATCCTAGTGCTCTTCACCTGCGGGATGACTCCTGCAATGGTTCTCTCCAGGATGGACGACTGATGTTCCACTTCGATAATGATGAGCAGCTGTGTGGGACAGTCCTTAGGGTACAGTCCATACATTTCAAAAACACTGTCTACGAGCATTCTCCAAACAACAGCTTCATATTCCATTAAAAAAATATCATTTAACGTCTTCGTCGTATTGTTCTCATAGAGCAATGGGACACATTTCATCTATGAGAACACCGTTCAAGGCGATGTCGACCCTCATGAGGGCCTCATTAGCCGTGAGAAGAGTATTCACCTGCACTTCTCCTGTGAATATCCTCTGGCCCAGGCCCTGTCTATGGATGTGGGAATCAACCCAATGGAGAGGTGATAACTACTGTACTACCTTTCTTACACAGCTCTTCTGATCGATCACAATTTCAAAAAGAGTTTGACTCTATAATATAAGATAACCTTTGGAGTCTTTGGAGCTCTCTCACTCTCATGCTCTAGAAATATCAGCATTCTTATTGCCAGACAAAATACTTCTTGGAGTTGATTATTGTGTCGTGTTTTTGTGTAGCATTGTGAACAAGAGGCTTCCATCTGGCCAAGGTCGCTATCACTTGAGGATGATCCCCTATGAGGACCCTGGCTTCCGCTTCCCCCTGACGAGAAGCAGAAATCTAGAGATGGAAATAGATCAGAGGTTGTACATCGAGGTGCAGACTATGGGAGTTGATGATCGGCAGATCTCCACCATTCTGGACTCGTGCTGGGCAACGCCTTTCAATGATGCCAGCTACCCTGTCCGCTGGAATCTCATTAGTGAAGAGTAAAGCTGTTGTTTGAATATGTTTGATTCTGATTCACAAATTCAAAAGTTTACATATGGACACTTCTTTAATTCATCATATCCATACCCTCTATTACAACATACTTAAGTCTTCCTGGTAAATCCTCCCTCCTCCCTGTCTTTCAGGTGTCCTAATAAAGAGGATGGTACAGTAGAGCTGGTCCAGAACGGTATCTCCACTGTCGCCCGCTTCTCCTTCAGGATGTTCACTTTTACCAACTTTTCATCCATCTACCTGCACTGCAAGGTCCATCTGTGTCTTCAGAGACACAACAACTGCACAGCTGTACGTACAACCTGAGCTGTGGTGTAATGTTGGATCATTATTCCTGGAAACAACCTCTTGGATTTGTTGAAGCCACTCTAATTTACTTGTAATGTTCTTTTGTCTGCAGCATTGCTACCCTGGTTTTCACACAAGAGTAGCGAGGGATATTTCTCACCATGACAGTGCAGCAATCTCACTCGGACCACTATTCCAAAAAACAGGTTAACTGTATTCTTGTTGATATACTGCACAGATTAATCAGGGGATCAAAAAGTTAATGTGCGTGTAAAATGACATTAGACCATTGTACCTCCACGTACAGACATTTGTTTTTATTTTAAAGCTGATGTTAGAATTTGTTTTTTCTCTTGCAGATGAAATGAGACAGAGCAGTGCTGCAGGACAACTGACCTCCGTGGTGACTCTGCTGGTCAGTTTACTGACTGCTAAAACTCTGACTTAGGGAAACTCAATGAAAGGGGCACACACACACACACATACATACAGTTGATATATCAATCACAGAGCAGTAGATTAAGCCGTGTGCATTGATTTAAAAATTGGTTATTATTTYTCTCCCTTGTGATTGGTGTAAAAAATATTATAGGTGTTACATAATATTTTGAAATACAACCTCTACATTCTCCTCAATGGTTTCTCTCTAATCGGTCCTGTTTAAAATGTGATACTTTTTATTTTCACCGCTAGAGGGCAGTATAATATCAAGGACACACATTTAGCATCTGTGTTCAATCATGGTTTATTCATTATAATGTTGATCAGTTGCATTTATTATCAACACAACATTTAATTGGTTAAATTGACAAATTATGTCATTTGATTTTGAAATATGAATCTTATTGTAGATATTTCTCCTCTTTCTACTCTACTTTCTCTTGTTTTCAATAAAAACAGCATTCACTTAAATTTTGGACTTGAATTCTGGACAGCGTCTTCTGCATGGGACACACAAATGTAACGATAACGGCAATCCTCAATCATTAATACAGGATGGTTCTCATTTGACATGAAAGATACAAGAGGTCAGGTTTCTGTCTTTTGTGCAGAACCTTCTTGTGGAGATGGACGGAGTCGTTATCGCCCACGTCTGTTCTTTAGGGATGAAATTCATCATTGTCAGTCAGTGCGTCCTCAGCAGAGACCAGAGACGAGACCTACTGTAGACATAGCAACACTTACCACACACCCACAACATGTAATTTGTCATAGGTGGTATTTTACAGTTCAGAGACTTCAAGTGTATCTAATACCACATGACCCGAGACACAGACACAGACTCTCCACACTACTGACACGTTATGTAGGGATTACACATCATGTTCCACACTTTGTCCAGTTTGGAAGTTTAAGCCTGTGGTTTATATGACATTGTCAATGTGTGAGGACGTACGAGAGAGAAAGGAAGAGCCACTAACAAGAAATAACAGGACTTGAAATACAATTTCAGCTAAAAAAAAAAAAAAGGGGAAGGAAGGAAAGGAAATGGATGGATGATCAAAAATATCACAGAAGTTTGAAAAGACTTCTTCTCACTGAAAAGCTCTGGATTTTACATAAAAATGTAAGAAACATTTACCAAAGTCAGCAGGCTTCAACCTCTGGGAACCAGAACTGTACAAGTCAAATGCAGCAGAGGGGCGAACGGTGGCTCAGCCTGAAATCTTTACCCTCAGTTTCTAAGATAAATGTCTTCTGCTAAAATGGATGTGACCTTTAAATCCATCACTCTGTCTTTTCAGAGGCTCGGTTCTTTTCCTCCACACGTCCATGCAGTAACTAATCGAATTAAGTAAATGCAGTTCCTGAATCTTTACAGATTTTGTCTCACCTTTTTGAACCCGTGCTCATATGTCAAACTTAACATCATCCACATGTGGCGAGTCATACCTTATCTTTCATTTGTGAACTGCTGGCATACGATCACTTCTTTCCTACACTTGATGTAAAGAGTGTCTTTAATGTGGCCTGAAGAAGAATACGAGAAAAATGATAAAGTTTAGTACTATGTAACAAGCTATACTCTGAATTTATTTTTGAGTTTAAATAATTGTCTCATAATATCACATTGCTTTTGCAAGTTCAAGCTTAGTTTAAATCTCTTTATGGACATCAGGATTTACAGAGTGGTTTCCTTTTTGGAGCCATTAAACCATCTTGAATACTCATCCCTGTGCTCTGACAGGGGAGTTTAAGGGAGTAAGGCAGGGGACAGAATTAAGGGAGACAAGGACAAAGTAGTGAATAGGACTAAAGGGAAATATGACTGACAGCTTGTTGACTTTTACAAGATGTCGAGGGCTTAGTTGACTAAATTGGATTCCCTCATGGAGTCCCCAGTGTGGTGTGCTGCAGGGGTCAGAAATGGTCCCATCTGATGTTTGACCTCCTGTTCCCCACATGCTGCCCCTCATGTCAGCAGAACCGGCCGCTACAAGCTGCAGCTCATAATCGCATCTGGACTGAAGTCCATTGGTGCAAGATTCAGTGAATAGTTTTGCTTTGTGCTTAGGGATAACCCCCTCGACATCCCAACTGCACACTAGAGTGTATATGTTGCATGTTGAGGTTATAAAGAGGAAAATATTCAGTCCCCTAAATATGCCTGATGCTTTCATCAAGATCCATTAATTATTATCAACATTTTGAAAAATGCCTCATCTCACAACGTCAAAGAAAAGGATCAACAACTAAATTTATTTAGCACTTTCCTGACCCAAACCGCATTTTTCCACCAAACGTCCTATTAATCCGTCCAGTAGTTTTTGCGTAATCTTGCTTACAAGCAAAGATACAAACCACTACATGAACAAATGGACAGGGATGAAGACATAATGTGAAAATACTATTATGTAGTGTTTAGCTGGTACTTTCATTTCAAATACTTAATCCCTGCAGGCACATCCTTTGTTTCTAATGTATGAAAAGAAGTTCTTAAGAAAATATTAGCTTGTTGTAGTTTTTTGTTCTTGTTCACCGCATCCTTTGTTTTGCTTGGACCCCTTTTTCATATAAAGACAAATCTGGCCATCTACTGTTTCTGTACGGAGTAATTAGATTTCCCTGGTGAATTCTATACTCCTGAGAAAACTGCACAGTCGGGGGAGCGGAGCTGCAATCCTAGAAGTCATGAAATTGACTTAGCAAACCATGTGTGAAAAATCAGCACTTTGTAAAGTGACATATTCAGTACGTACCGTGACTTTAGCTGTGCTGTGTTCTTCATGGATTCACTTTGACACCTTTACTGTCCTGAAAATTATACCTGAGAGTCAAATAGATTCCAAACTGTTTTATAAACTGTCTTTATGTGTTTCCACATCCCTGTAGCTTCCCTTCAAAGTAAAACACATACAAATAGTAAACCTTGTGTGTGAGTGCCTCTAATAATGACTGTATTTTGTTTTGTATGTGATTATGCTTATACTTTCATAAAAATCCATAATAATAAAAATGAGGTAATTTGGAAGTAAGTTATCTGTAATGTGCTGCTTCCATCAGCCATCCATTTGAAATATTAGATAATAGATTTACCAGAGGGCTTCCTCCTGCCATCTGGTACTTCTGTCAACCCGTGACTCCTTCCCTCAATCCTCAGATCTACTGTATATCTTTTTGACTCCCCAAAGGTTTTTCACATCTTTTGAAGAGCGTGTGGGCCTGTTGTTTTTCCCTTAAAAAATAAAGGCATTTTATGTTAAAATAAAAATAATTAGATCTCTTTTTCTGAAAATGTTTTTATATCACAGTTCCAGTCATTTATTCAGTAGTTTTCCGAGTATTTGCAATTTGCTTAAAATCCTTTTAGCTAATTTGCCATTCTTTGATTACATTTATCCCCGAAATGAGAAGGCCAGAGGTTGATGGAGAGAGTGATGGACTGGACGAAGGACAGTCTACTGTCACCGTATTCTCTTTCCTCCGCCCTGCCCCACCATCACAAACCCCAACCACTTCTTCACTCCCTCCAACAGTGACCATGGGCTGTTTATTGACTTGCTTCTTCTTCCTGTTTGTGGTTCTAAGAGGCTGAAATTAGATCTGCATCGGCGAGGATTTGAGATAAATTGGGCTGCAGATCAGGCCTAATTTGATTTGCTCTTGGTTTCTTAGGGGGTAAGGGGAGGATGGTTCTTTGTGATGCGGCAAACAGGAACAACACCAAGGATGGAGTTAAATATAGGTCTGCTGAGTGCTGCAATTAATGATTTTTTCAAATTAGATATATAAGTTATGCAGGGAGAAGCCAGAGCAGCTGGTATGTAAGCAAAGCATTTGACATTGTTGATGTCTTAACAGTGGGAGGAGAACCTACTACTGTCAGTGTTAGAAATCGTCTACCTCTGGTCCATGCTACTGTTTGCAAGGCCTCTTTACTTGCTCCCTTGGGTTGGCCCAAATGGCAGCGGTACACAGGGGTAATCGGCCGCTCCCATTAACGCTCCCAGGGGAGGGGGGTTTGCTCCTCGGTCTTTGTACGATCAGAAGTCGGGTGTGGATCTCGCTCTTTTCTCTCTGCCACTTTGATGTGACTCCAGTCCCTGACAGTCGATACCATAGCTGAACCTGACACTCGGTGCTGCCTCTGTAGAAATGTGGAATGGGAAGAGGTGAATGGGATTGAGAAGCGCAGGGGCTGAATGCGAGAGTATCTTTTGTTTTGTGTGCCAGACAGACGTGGCGACCCCTCTTCGTTAAACTCAACCGAGGAGATCACAGCCCACGCTGAAGAGGAGGGATGCCTCCAGGGTAAACAAGTGTCTCTTGATGTTTTTGTCACTTTCATCTGTTCACATGGACACATAAAATATAACTTGGACATGATGGTGTTATGGGATTGTGTATCAGCATCTGCGTCACAAAAGCCTCCATTCATTGTCTATGCTGCTAAACCTTTGAGGGTCAACCCCAGTTGACATTGGGCGAGAGGCGGAGTGCACCCTGGAAAGGTCGTCAGTCTATCACAGAGCTGACACATGGGCTACATCCACACTTTTTATACCTTTTTACACCACTCCAGAGTTTTTGAGCAAAGTTTGAAAAACCCCAACTCTAGATGGGCAAAACCTGAAATGTTTAGAAACAACAATGCGTCACCCACATTTGATTCAGGATTGGTTCTTATCGGTCACAACTCAACACTTATTGTTTGCCACAGTTCCACCTCATAGTTGGTCCGAGAAAAGAAATCCGTCATCTTGACTTTTCAGCATTGTTGGTCCTCGTTCGTAGTCTTTTCTGTTTCTAAGCAACCAACTATAAAGTAGACAAACGGCAGACGATTCCAGACGGAGGCAGAATCATGAAATTAGTATGGATAATAGCAGTTATCCTCTATATAGTTCCTCAGGCTGCTACAGTGGATAAAGAGTTAATGTCGTGTTCTCTACATTCTTGGTTTTTGTAGCTAACAGTGATATGCAAACGATGATGAGTAACTGTCAGAAATTTCAATGTA